GTTGTTCATGCCTGAAGACAAAAATTCGATGAAATACCGTATTTGGCGACTTGTCACCTCAACCCCGTTTGAGTACTTCATTATGGCGATGATCTGTTGCAATACAATCATATTGATGATGAAGGTTACTTCTCTTTTGCAATTCCCACATAATCACCTCTGAATAGCAAAAATGTTAAACACACACCTCAGAATATGACTTAGTCAGAATCAAAAATAGACCTAATGCTGGGATATGTTTTTTCCTGCTTATTTATACCAAAATGTTTAAAAAAATGAATAGCCTTTCAATGCTGCTTCACCAAAAAACATGTGCCCTCACATTTTTACTCCAAAAAGATATTCAAAATTTTGAAAATCTGTGTTTCCGCTCAAAAACAATTTGGCCAAAGTGCGCATTTCTAGGGATAACGACCTCCTTCGCAGACGATTTTCCTTCGCAAACCCATTTTTCCGCTGACGTCTCTCGATTTCTAGTTTAGTTTCATAGATCTACTTCCCCTTCAACTTCTGCACATTTCCTTACTTCGTTTGAATTCTTTTACCTCCTAGTTTTTCAATTCTTTTCAGAGAAAGAGGTGGCAACAGTAAAAAAGCGGCTACTGTTAATTGCCTCTAAGATTGTTGTCTTCCTTATAACTAATTCTCGTTGTAGTTTCATGGTAACTCCGAGTTTTATGAAAAAATTCTTCGCTTTTTCAATACGGCGCTGACAGCAGTATTTACGGTGGAATCGATCTTGAAAATACTAGCTTTTGGTGTTCGGGTTCGTGCAACTTACATCTTTTGCATACAAGATTCTTCAAATCCGACTACTTAAGAAAAAATCAATATAACAATTAAAAAAATAGCATTTGTTTGGTAAAGTTTTGCTACGAAGTACCTCTGATCCTTCTTTATGCACCTTTTCGCCTTGCACAAAAAAAAGTTGAATTTAGGGAAAGAGCTGACTGATACACAGGTAATCTTTTCCATGTGCTTTTTTGCCGCTCGTGCTTTGCTTCCTTATAGAAATGCCGAAGAACTTTGTAGCTGGCTGATTCGGTAAACCCATTTAGTTGTATGTCCGATCCGTTTTGAATGTGGTTTTTCCAAATTTGTATTTGAACTAATAAAAATTAAATGTGGAAAAACGCAGCAGAGGCAAAGAAGAATTTAAAACAACAAGGGCACAGTATTTTAGTATAATAGTGTAATTACAGAAACTTCTTTTGAAAGCTTCTGAGCACCCACCGCTTTTGCCAGTTTCTTTTTTCCTGTAATCGAAGCAATGTGATGTTTAAAAAATTTTATACTGATGTTAGATAGCTGGCCATTGGTCATCAAATAATAAAATCTTAGTCACTACTTTGCACAAACTTCTATTGCTTTGCTTGCTAGCCCCGTTAATTGGGATGTATTCAGCTTATTCTTTACATATTTAGAATTACTTTCGTGATGGGTGGAATCGTTTTGATTTCATCACGGTAGTGGGCTCGATAACGGATGCACTGGTAACTGAGTTTGGTGGTCACTTTGTATCGCTTGGATTCTTGCGCTTGTTTCGTGCGGCTCGTTTAATTCGCCTTCTGCAGCAAGGATACACCATACGCATTCTACTCTGGACCTTCGTTCAGTCCTTCAAGGTACTAATTACTACATAATTCTGTAAAGACTATTGCTTCAGAGCACTTGATGGATCCTCCAGCGATGCGCTTCCTATAGTAGTTATGTTGTTGCGCTATTATACTGACTTATCCTCATTTTTAGGCCTTACCATATGTTTGTTTACTCATTGGTATGCTATTTTTTATCTATGCAATAGTGGGAATGCAGGTAATGATTCTTCATTTTACGATACTTGTAAAAATCAAATTGAGCTGGTCAATTTTTCGTAAAAAACGAAACATTTTCCTCGTCAGGCGCCTCTCCACCGCTGTTTCTCGATTAGAGTGTCTTTGTACATTAGTCTCGAATCTCTTCTTAACTTCAAGCCTTCCTTTTCGGTAGGTTATGAGCCTAAAATTAGCATCTCAGTTTACCTCACATGCAAAAACCCAAATATACATGTTCAAAATATTTTTTTCGTAATTTTGCATAAAATACATTTCATAATTTGCTTTATTCTGCTCGCAGTTTGCTAATTTGCTTTGCTGTGCTCGCACTTTGTATTGCAAAGTTCTGTAGTGGCACCGTTATCTGCCCAAACTCAGGTATCGTAGTCTTTATAAAATTCAGAAAGAGCTGTGTATAAAAAAGGCGGATTATCAAAAAAATATATGCAGATTTTACGACGCTGGACGCTTTTTTTTTAGTGTACTTTTTGTAAAAAAAAAAGTATGTTAAATCTGACTATTTTGATTGGTGAGAGACTGTGCAGGCAAGAGGAAAGAGGGAAAAGAGAAAATTTTCTTTTTCGCAGAAAAAAGGAACTTTTCCGACAGAGTGAGAAGCTGATCGGAAATATACGATTTTCGTTCCCCGCGTTTTCGTTGCGCCGCACGTGAGTTTGCTATACAAACCACTGATTGTAGCTCTACGTTTTATCAGAGCTGTTTTGCATTTCAAGCTGATGTGAAAATCCATATTGCCGGGAATCTGCATGTGTATTCAAGAGCGAGTGAACTTTGTCATTCACTTTCGGCTCGGAAACGGAGAAAACAGGGTTTTTGACTGCTATCGATATAATAACGTTTATAAAACAAATATACTAATTTCTAGATATCATTTACCATTACGTAAAAGGCCGGCCATGGTGCCTTAGAAAAGCACCAATTTCTTGATAGCATTTACTTTTAATAAACAGGCAGTCGTGGTGTTAGCCCAGCCCGCTGATAAGTGAATTTTCTGTCCATGCCTGCTGAGCGATGAAAGAGAATGTTTCAAATTTTTATGGCGTTTTTTACAAGGATCTTACCTACTTCTCTT